TCTGATGAAGGGTCTAGGCCCGAAACGTCAGCTTCTCTGCTCCTATGATGCTGCTTGGCCTGCTGAGTTCATCCAGCCCTGCACCTCGTTGTCTCGGATTCTCCAGCATCTGCAGTTCCTACTATCTCTGACTCTTTAAAAGGTTGTGCTTTCTTGTTTGAGGCGTAACTGGATTTTTAATGGCATACTCAGTCATAATTTCTGCTGAACAATCTCTCTGGCTGTGGAAAACTAATTTTATATTAGTGGAATGTTAAATTTGTCCACTGTAATGAAACACAAATGCATTTTAAAACATTTTTGACGTTTGTTTATGATCTTTCAGTTTTAATCATAATTCCATGTGTGTGGCTAAATTTTTATTTCACTTTCCTTAAGATTAATCAAAAGTGATAGATGATCAGTGTATTGTCCTTCCTAGTTTGCCGTCTTTGAATTTTTCAGTATTTAGCTACTTAGTTTACTTGATGGCTTCATTGACATTGTTTAGGACAGATCTCAATGGCTGATACTGAAATAAAATTAACAACAGGATAAGTGAAATTCATGCCATAGAGATCACTGGATCCCAGTGAGCCTCTTTCTATGGGGGGATTGCGAGTGCTATCATCTTGTTTGGACCACAAAATCCAGTCCATAATTTCTCATTGTTACAGTGAATATGAATTGTTAATACAATATATATACTTTTTTTTCTGTATAGTATACATGTGTATACTATACTGTATATAGGTTATTTATTAAAAGTTTACTGAAATTATTAATCATAAAAATGTATGATGCTTTATCATAACCAAACTAGCATCTCATTGTCAAAGTACTGACTGGTACACAATGATACAATTTAAAACAATTACCTCAGAAGATATTTTTACCATGTGTCTATATATGGCTTAACTTGGCATACAGGGGAGCATACATAATTCTGAAATCTCTTTCTGAAAACATTTTTCTAGGATTATGGACTCAATACTGAAGCATTCAAGGAAATGGTGAATGGCTGTCCAAAAGCTGTGCTGGAAATTACGGTTAACTGCTGTAGGGTATGAAGTATTTCTGACTTACCATCATTCTTTCTGCAAGGTTCACTAACTCTGGTCTTGGACACATTGCAAAGACCCTTTACTGTAGTACAAGCTATATCTCAGCAAAATCAATAAGTCATTCTTTTTCAATAAAATCTGCTTCCAGGGAGGAGTCGAATTTTGATGCACATAAAATCAAAAGATATTCTTAATAAATTAGTTAACATCTGAAAGAGAATATTAGATGAATGTTTTAGGTGGGGTATTCTGTCAAAACCAGTGTCATAACTAGAACAGATGGCACAATGGTTAGCACTGCCAGGCACCTCACGGTGCCAGGGACCTGGGTTTGATTTTGCCCTCAGGTGGCTGTATGGAGTTTACACATTCTCCCCGTGTCTGCGTGGGCTTCCTCCAGGTGCTCGACTTTCCTCCCAGTGTCCAAAGATGTGCTGGTAAGGTGGATAAGCTCTGCTAAATTGTCTGTAGTGACCGGGGATGTGGAGGTTAGGTGGGTTAGCCATCGTAAAAGCCCCATGAAAGGCGGGGATGAGGTGGGTCTGTGTGGAATGCTCTTTGGTAGGTGAGTGCCGACTCAATGGGCTGAATGTCCTCTTTTGATACTGTAGGGATTCTAACAATCCCTTCAAAGTTCTCTTCCTCTTCTACATGAGCTCATAGGCTATGAAGGCAAAAGATTAAAACAGAAGCATTAGCTCTTGTAAAAACAGCAAAGAAATTTCACTTGAGCCAATTGTTCCTGTTACCATTAATCACACAGAATAACTCTAATTCCTAACCTCTTTTTAATGAAACTCTTGGTGTCATGGCCAATCTATCATGGCAGCAAATGGCAAAATGTCTTCAAGTTTCAAGACAGCAGCAAGACAAGAGACAGGGAATAAGTTGAGGCCCATGGTAAAGAGACCCAGGTTTAACATTTGCAACATCTGGAAAACACCTGATTTGGGGGAAAGTGCAATCAAACAGTGAGATTGCCAGAAAATTGTTGTTTAATTGTTTTGTGAGCAACTGCTGTGAAGGAACTGTATGTATATTACTGGTATTGCTAAAGAATTTTTGTTTTAAAAGCCCAACTGACTGCAACTATTCGGTAATTATAAGCTCTTAATTAATATTGCTAATGTTTACTAGTAGTACTAAACTGACTATAGTGTTTGTTAATTATAAATTAACTTAAATTGTTAATTACTTAACACACAGTAAAGATGGCAGGGTAGGAGGTGTGCTACCATGGCAGTATGCGGGAGCTTCTGGATGCCATTGTGATCCAGGCCAAGCTTGTCTGCATTAAGTGCCTGCAGCTACATGAATTTCACTTAAAGTTAGTGGGCTGGAGACCAATCTGTTGGTACTGTGGCACATCATGAAGGGGGAAAGTTATCTGGACACTTTGTTCCAGAAGACGATTCCACCTCTTAAGATAGGGTCATCTGATTTGGCCAATGATCACTGTACGACTGTCAGTGGACCAGGTAAGAGGCCAAAGAGCAAGCACATTTGAAGCTGTCAGACAATGCATGGTGGCTGGACTTAAGCTTCATATCTTATAGACATAATATCTGAACTGAACGAAGTGAACTGAAATACAGGGAAAGGACAGAGATGTAGCATATATCAATGGTGTGCATGCATTCAAATTGAAATTGGGTCTATGGTCCTCCCAATTAAAAACACAGCAACAGTTCTTGAGTCTGGAGAAAATAGAAGAACAAAATTAAAACTAACAAAAGTAGTTCCACCAGAAAACTTCCGCACACAACTGAGGAAGTGAGCAGAGGAATTCAGTAGGTGATTTCAGGAACTAGATGTGATGCAACAAATTATAATACTTATCTCAAATCCATTCCTTGAGTAGCTGTTGATGTAGCGGCTACCAAATTCCATCAGGTGTTTCATTTACAGAGCAGTCGAGTTGATACAGAGGTAGTTACTTATGCAAAATTATATTGTGCTGAAAGTCAGATTCAGGGCCAACAATTCAAGGGGACTCAAACAGAGAGAAATACCCACTCCTGTCATCCTTTACTTTTAAAGTACAAGCTTACCTTGTACTCACATACCTCTGTGAGACAGCATTCTCCCAAATGAAGATAAACAAGTCTAAGTAATGCACACATTTGATGGGCTGTATACGACTAAAAGACTCAAACTACAATCCAGACTCCAAGGCGCTGGCAAATAATATGCAGACGCAGGTATCACATTGAAAGAGGGGATAAAATAAAGAATTATGTATATTTGACTTAGATTTATGTAGCACAAAAAAGGCCTATCTATTCTATATTTGCTTCATGGTAAATGCTAAGTTGGACTTTAATTTTAAAAGGTGATCTAATGTTTGAATTATACTAGAGAATTAGAATGGGGAGTTAATAGTACACAATAAAGAAATGGAAGATGAAATGGTCAAATATTTTACTTCAGTATAGAGAATGCAAAAAAGGGAAAGAAGGTATTTGATATACTTGCCTTTATTGGTTAGTGCATTGAGTATAGCAGTTGGGAGGTCATATTGCGGATATTGGAATACTGTGTGCAATTCTTGTCTCCCTGCTATAGGAAGGATGTTGTGAAACTAGAAGGGGCTCACATTTACAAGGATGTTGTCAGGTTTGGAGGGTTTGAGCTATAGGGAGATGCTGAATAGACCGGGGCTATTTTCCCTAGAGTGTCAGAGACTGAGGAGTGACCTTACAGAGGTTTATAAAATCATGAGGGGCATGGATGGGGTAAATAGACAAGGTCTTTTCCTTGGGGTTGGATGGTCCAAAACTAGAAGGCATAGGTTTAAGGTGAGAGGGGAAAGATTTAAAAGGGATATGAGGGGCAACTTTTTTCACGCAGAAGATGGTGTGTGCCAGAGGAAGTGGTGGAAGCTGGTGCAATTACAGTATTTAAAAGGTATCTAGATGGGCATGTGAGTAGGAAGGGTTTAGAGGGATATGAGCCAAATGGGACTAGATTTATTTAGGATATCTGGTCGACATGGACGAGTTGGACCAAAGTGTCTGTTTCCATGCTTTAAATCTCTATGACTCTATGGCTTTAAATTCCCAGCAATAGTTGTAAATCTGGAAGTGGAAGGAATAGAGGAACTTGATCAGATTACATCACCTGGAAAACACTCCTGAGCAAAGTGATGAAGTGTGGGTTGACACAATCCTGGGTTCTGATGGACTTCATCCTAAGATCTGAAAGGAGGCAGCTAATGAAGCAGTATCTCTGGTGTTAATTTTCAAAAATGCTCAAATCCTTGAAAACCTCTATCAGACTGAAAAATAGTGAATATAATGTGTCTATTCAAAAAGGGAGGATGACAGAAAACAGGAAAGTATAGACCAGTTTACTTCATGTCTTCAATGGTGATTGTGTTACAATCAACAATAAAGGAGTTGGGCACTTAGAAAAAAATTCTGTGTAATCGGGAAGAGTCAGCATGTCATTGTGAAACTGAAATCGTTTTTCACTGACATATCATGCTTAGATTTCCAGAAAGCATTCGACAAGGTGTCACATAGAAGGTGGTTGCACAAAATGGAAGCACAAGATGCATGGGGTAATGTACTCATGTGGATAGATATTTGGCTGTTTGGCAGATGACCGTGAGAAGGATAAATGGTCTTTGCCTTATTGGTAGGATATGAGAATGAGGGTCCTGCTGGGATTTGTTTTGAGACCTCAACATTTTTCAATTTTTATGATTGATTTAAACGAGGTGAGCAAAGCATGGCAGCTAAATTTATAGATGACACAAGGATAGCTAAGAAAGGTTGTACTGAAGAGCACATAAGGATTATTCAGCCTGATATTGATAAGTTAGGTGAGCAGACAAAAATCTGGCAGATGGAGTATTATGTGGGAAATGTGAAATTGTTGACTTTGGCAATAAGAATAAGAAATGCAGAATATTATCTAAACAGAGAATGACTGCAGACAGCATGAGCCATGAGAAGTTTGCATGCAGTTGCAGCAATAATTAAAAAGGCAAAGCTAATGGAATAAAAACCGAAACAGCTGTGGATGCTGTAAATCAGAAACAAAAACAGAAATTGCTGAAAAAGCTCAGCAGGTCTGGCAGCATTTGTGAAGAGAAATCAGAGTTAACGTTTTGGGTCTGGTGACCCTTCCTCAAAACTAACGGAATGTTGGCCTTTATTAGGTGAGAATTTGAACATAAGTGAAGCATTACATCCTCACATTTTTTTGTAGGGCAATTGATAAACTGGCATTTTAATATTGTGTGCAGTTTTGGTCTCTTTATTTAAGGAAAGTAAATGCAGTGCCAGCATGCGCAATTTCTTTATTATTGATTGCAGTGGCAGTGGTTCAGAGGAGATTTACCAGACTGATGCCTCTAAATTGATACCTGGAATGAGTGGGTTGACTTACGAGGAAAGTTTGGATAACCTGGGCTTGTTTTCATTGGAGTTTAGAAAAATGAGGGGTGTTTTGATTGAAGTTTATAAGATCCTGAATGGACTTGACAATGTGGACACAAAAATGATGTTTCCTCTTGTGGGTGAATCCTGAACTACCCAGCACATGGTTTTAAAATTAAGGGTTTCCCTTTTAAGATAGTTGTCAGTTTTATTCTCTCAGTAGGTTGTGCAACTTTGATTCTTTCTGCCTCAGAAGGCATAGGAGGGGGTCATTGAGGATTTTTAAGGCAGGCACGGTAGATTTTTGTTAGGAAAGGGAATAAAAGGTTATCAGGAGTATATGGGAATGTGTAATTCAAAACACAAATAGATTGCCACAATTTCGTTGAATGGTAAAGCAGGTTTGAGGGGCCAAACGGCCTGCGTCTGCTCCTGATTCATATTATTGTAAAATGTAATAATGGTGATCTGCCAAGGGCAGGTCCTTTATTTATTTCTCCACAGCTAAAGTTCTTGTACATTCCTTGCCAGCTACTCATAGGAGCATCCTATTTGCAATTGCAGATTGTTTAATGCCATCATTTTCTTTCTCCCTTTTGAGCTACCACTCTTAACCTTCCTCCAGTCAGTCCTTAGAATTTTGCCATTCCCATTTAGTTGTCGGTCTTCTTTAGTGAGAATATCCTTACTGATGTAGGTGTTGAACTCGCCCATTCCATCCTTTTTTTTAAAATAGAATCCCTGTAGTGTGGAAACAGGCCCTTTGGCCCAACTAGTCCACACCAATCATTGGAGCATCCTCTTATAATCCACCTAAGCTATACACCCCTGAACACTATGGGCAACTTAGCACAGCCAGTCCACCTAACCTGCACATCTTTGGACTGTGGGAGGAAACCAGAGCACCCAGAGGAAACCCACGCAGACACGGGGCGAATGTGCAAACTTCACACAGACAGTTGCCTGAGGGTGGAATTGAACCCCAGGTCCCTGGCACTCTGAGGCAGCAGTGCTAACCACTGAGCCACCATATCATAGCCTCAGTTCATAGCCTTCTAGTCTTTGGATATCTGCTTGTCTCAAGATCCACTTTTCAACCCAATATTACAGAATCATTCTTCCTTCCAAGACTTTGCTCATTTCCATGCTGAGAAAGTGCTTATGCTTAGAGGATTCATTCTTAATTGGCATTTCTATTCCAGCTCTAATTTCTTTCTGGCTGTAATCAGCTTCTTTAAACATGTTCCCAGGTACATAAATAGATTAGAGGTCAAAGCCAGCCATTACGTTGCCTGTGATCTGTTTGATTTTAGGAAGGGCTGTGAACAAGAGAGGCTAAAGTAATGATGACAGTCTTAAATAAAAGGGCTAGGAGTGCAACATTCCCATCTCCTGAACATCATGGCCTATGGTGAGAAAGTTGGGTAAATTAGGTGAGAAGTCCAAGAACTTCTTACCTCTGACACCAAAAGGTCCCATTTTGCAACCAAGTATCGACCAGCGAGATATGATTCTCCGTAGTAAGTGGCAAATGCCTGTTAGCATGGATTATCACCCATTATCACCTGCACTCTTAATCCATCTCACCTCAATGATATGCATTATCATGTTCTCCCACCCACCAACTAGAAACTAGACCCCATGAATTCTCAACATGAAAGTCAAAACCTGGCAACTCCGGCCATCCATGTTGGACACTGAGCACCAATACCTCAGGCACGCTGTAAGGGCAGCAACTGCATGATCCCACACCCATGAATCTTGGCATCTAGCACACACTGCATCATCATGGCACATCTCTGACCCGCTTACAGTATGCTTCTGCACTTACAGTGCTGCCCTCTGGAGCAGACTGGCACCTTCCATTGCAATGGTATTGCCAAGGCAGGTTGTATGCAGATACAGGTCTGCAGTTTGTGGGTTGGACCAGTCTGCATTTCAGGGCTGTTCACTTGCTGTCTTAGTGCTCATTCACTTTGCACCTGCTTGAATGCTCACAGCGTTCCTGCCTTGTCTTTCTGTGTTTTGCCCCCTCAGCTAACAGGCTCACAGTACTTGTGTCTTGCCTTGCCTTTCAGTACAGAAACAAAGCCAGGCAGCTTATCATTCTTGTCAGCAGGCATTGGTCAAGGGAGTAGACATCTACAGGGGTTGAGGAGCTGAATGTTGGGCACTCCATCACCCCTCCTGGAGGCTTTGGCCCTATTGTAGGCCATTTTCTCATGGACTGCGAGTAAGCGAGGGAATGAATGAGATGAAAATGGCTGACACAGCTGTTAGTGCTGGTGCAAGAGAGGGAAAGGTGCTGAGTGAGTGAGTAGGCAGCACACAGGGCATGCAGGGTTGGTCGGATGGAGGAATTGAGTTGACGAGAATGAGTGAGGGAAGATGTTGCAGGGTAGAGCGTGGTAGAGCATAAGCCTTGGTGGGAAGTGGGTCCAGTAGCAGAGGTAACAGGGAGAAGATGGTGGCATTTACCCTGGAGAAATGGAGAAGGTCTTTCACCTTCCTTCAACACTGATGGCAGCTCCTCCAGATGGTTATGAGCACTCTGACCCAGCTAGCCCCCTAGCGTCAGGCTGGCAGTGTCTGGTATCATGGTCTCTTATGTTGGTCCTGGTGGAAGAAGGAATCCTTCCTCTGTGCCACCCCATCCACCAAGACCTCTATGCCCCTGTCTGCTAAGCACAGCACCAAAATCCCTTTACATGCCATGTCCAGGGCAACTTAATTGAAACATGAGGGCAGCTCCAGACTGACTGCGATTGACCAGGTACACATCAGCCTTTTAAATATGGAGCATCACCAGGCAGTGGCTAGTAGATACCCCCTATGGCAATTGGGAGAATTGGGCTAACATTGACAAGTAGAATGCCATAGAAGCATGGTGATCAATTAATGAAGTGAATTTGGGGCAATTGTATAGGAAAATGCCCTGGGTCACACGTAGACACACGCTCTGTGAAACTTGCCAAACATAATAAAAACCAAAAGAACTGTGGATGCCATAAATCAGAAACAAAAACAAAGTTGCTGGAAAAGCTCTGCAGGTCTGGCAGCATCTGTGAGGGAGAAAACAGAGTTACCGTTTCGGGTCCTGTGACCCTTCCTCAGAACTGGGGAACTTTCTCAGAACTCCCAGTTCTGAGGAAGGGTTGCCAAACATAATGTTTGGTAAAGGTCAACCCTGAAAGAAAAGTACAGCTGCCTCATAGATTATCAAAGTACTTTGGCTGAGAGAATTGGCAAAAGCTGTTACAACTTCTGGAGGTGATCAGAATTTGCAGGAGAGATGAAAGACTTTTGTTCTGTATATGGGACTGACATCAACAATTAAACAGTACTTGGTGAAACTGAATCGAGTGTAATTGAATGTGGGGTGAGGCAAGGCTATCCCAGTGCTCTTTAACACCTCTGCAGTGAGCAGAGAAACACTGGATGAAATGCAGAAAAATGTCTAAGTAGGAGGTCCACCTGTGATGAATGTGAGATTTGCTGATGACTGGCACAGCAGCAAATCTAAAGCTCCTGATGAATAGAATGAAGGAATTGGTGAAAACATATAGAATGAGAATGAATGTAAAAAAGACTAAAGTAATGAAAACTGGTAAAAATAATGGAGGGAATGCAAAGGTCAAGATAAATAGTCACGAGTAGAACTGATATTACAAACCATGTAGTGGGTTTTTAACAAATGGAGTAAGACCATACATTGGTCATTGCTTTATAAATAAAATAGAATTGGGTATCCCTTCAACATTGCCAATCATACACTGTTTATTTGTTGATAATATATGGAGTCTAATCTTAAAAAAAGTCAAGTAGTATGATAACCAGAGCAAGATACTTATTTCAAATATAATTCCACATTATAAGATTTTAAAAAGTGCATTTTTATGCCAATACAGGAACATTTTTATTTATGTATTTTCAGTTTAGCTGTACACTAAGTACTTTTGTAAACAAAATAAACAATTTCAGATGTCCCCAAACAGGAAGCACAGCTCAAACATATCTTCTGCTTTTGCCCCACAGATTGATGCCTTCAAGAGACCATCCTTCCTTGAGTTACTGGACCAACTTGAGGAGGTAGCTGAAAGCTTGGAGCCAAATGAGGACAATGAGATCCTTGTATGAAACTGTCAGTGTTTGACTGTACCACAAGGCCTTATATGGGTGATAGCAACTGCTGTTATCATCATACAGTGTATAAAGGAAGAGAAGGAAAACTGGATATTTGAGCATGTGTTAGAAAAAGCTTATTCACTCATGATAGTGAAAAGACACACTCAGTTGCCTAGTCACATCAGTTTGTTGACCACTGGGGAGTGGCACAATTTGGACTTTGGGTTATAAACGTAAACGAGCTATTTTGACTCAGCTATCTGTTGTACTTCTCAACTGACCTTTATTTCCATGAATGGAAATTAAATTTGGAAGAGATGTATAATGGATGGTTGATTTGGTATTGCTCCACTTTTCATTGTTACTCAAATTCCAGATTATCCCGCCTTCATTAAACAGAATTCAAAATTTTAACTTGCAGCAATTGTTGGAAAACTGCCATCACAATTCTGTATCTGGGTTACCAGGCAGAGAAGTGTTTTCGTTCAATCCATCATATTTGATGGACTGTAATGTACATCATGACAACTGCTCTCATAGGAGATGCAACTTCTGTAAAACTAGAGCTATAAATATAAGACTCCATTTACTGACAAACCCTTTCATTGCTGAATTTCCTCTGTAGTGTTCTTCAATATATTTTTAATCACCTCGCGCTAAACAGATTGTCTGTAATTTGCTTATGTTGAATAATTTAGATGAAGCATTAGAGAAAGAAACAAGATTACACATTAAATTTGTACAGGCAATATTTTGTGAATTTTTATTTTTCTTCCAAGTGACCTCCAAAGGTTAGCAGTAATGTTTGATAAACTCAACTTGGCTCATCTCAACCATCACCCATCAAACACCAAGGTCAGTCTTAATCCAGAGAAGTGCCTCATCACAAGGCAGTTATTGTATAAGAGAAAGGTACATCAAGTATCGGTCCGAATTCTAAAAAGTGTATCTGTCAGTTGACTGGAAATTCCGAATGAGGGTCAGTAAAGCCCATTCTGGTAGACTTTCTCCAGAATAGGCAATTCCTTCTGCAATCAATTTGTCTTATTGGTCCTTCAATGACATTATATCAGCCTTACCAAACAATGCCTCATATTTACTGTATTGTATGCACCGAAGTAGGCAGCATTGTGTCCCCAGTAAATGTCAAAAGTGAACAGAAGCTGAAAACATTCTGAAGCCAAGAATTAGGTGTTTTTCCAAAAGGCTGAGTCATTGTGACCATGTCTAACTTGAAGTGTCATTCTGGTGTGTGTAGTTGCAATTATTACACTCTGATATTTAATGTTTTGATAACTAATCATGTGAAAAGATTGTGTTTTAACTTAGTGAGCACACCTTATCAAGTACCATATGTATTGTTCATGCTGATAAATAATTGAAAAGTATTGAGTATCTATTTCAGTAATGAATTAATTACTCATTATCGAAAAAGGAACCTGATTATTTCTGTTTGAAAAGAAAGGGAGTTAGATTTCGAAGCTCCTTTGATTGTCCACTTATTAAGAACTTGTATTTACATAGTGCCTTTCTTGTCTGAGAATACTTTGCAGCCAATGAAATACTGTTGAAATCCAGTCACTTGTAATGTAGGAAACGCAGCAGTCAATTTGCACATAGCAAGAACACACAGAGATAGTGGGTTGAATTTTAACAGCCTGTGCAGATAAGCTCAGGTGCTTGTGGGCATGGAAAATCATGAACTTGGAAGACGTCACTGATTCCTGAGTAATATGTCTAGGTTTTCAAATGGAGGAGTGTATGGAGGGCATTGGCAATCCACGCACCTCAAATTAGTTGCTTGATGCAACTAATAAGATTGTGGGACACAGTGGATAGAAACTTTCAAATAACCAGCATGGGGAACATGGAGGGTGTAGGGCATTTTTTGAGTATAAGTGTAGGGAACACAGTGAAGAGGCATTAGTACATAGCACTGCAGTGCAATAAAGTTGCATAAAAGGAGGAGAGCTGAAACTCAATGTGGAGCTGGAGGAACACAGCAGGCCAGGCAGCATCAGAGGAGCAGGAAAGCTGACGTTTCGGGTCAG